GATGTTGATCTGCATTAGAGTCGATGATATATTGCGATGAAAGCATGATGATGGTTATGTGAAGATGTTGATCTGCATTAGAGTCATGATAGATGACAAAGCATGATGATGGTTATGTGAAGATGTTGATCTGCATTAGAGTCATGTGAAGATGTTGATCTGCATTAGAGTCGATGATTGTGACAAAGCATGATGATGGTTATGTGAAGATGTTGATCTGCATTAGAGTCGATGATTGCGACAAAGCATGATGATGGTTATGTGAAGATGTTGATCTGCATTAGAGTCGATGATAGCGACAAAGCATGATGATGGTTATGTGAAGATGTTGATCTGCATTAGAGTCGATGATGACAAAGCATGATGATGGTTATGTGAAGATGTTGATCTGCATTAGAGTCGTGATGATAGCGACAAAGCATGATGATGGTTATGTGAAGATGTTGATCTGCATTAGAGTCGATGATAGCTTACAAAAAGCATGATGATGGTTATGTGAAGATGTTGATCTGCATTAGAGTTGATGATTGCGACAAAGCATGATGATGGTTATGTGAAGATGTTGATCTGCATTAGAGTCGATGATTGTGACAAAGCATGATGATGGTTATGTGAAGATGTTGATCTGCATTAGAGTCGATATAGCGACAAAGCATGATGATGGTTATGTGAAGATGTTGATCTGCATTAGAGTTGATGATAGCGACAAAGCATGATGATGGTTATGTGAAGATGTTGATCTGCATTAGAGTCGATGATTGTGACAAAGCATGATGATGGTTATGTGAAGATGTTGATCTGCATTAGAGTCGATGATAGCGACAAAGCATGATGATGGTTATGTGAAGATGTTGATCTGCATTAGTGTCGATGATTGTGACAAAGCATGATGATGGTTATGTGAAGATGTTGATCTGCATTAGAGTCATTATAGCGACAAAGCATGATGATGGTTATGTGAAGATGTTGATCTGCATTAGAGTCATGATGAAGCATGCATGATGATGGTTATGTGAAGATGTTGATCTGCATTAGAGTCGATGATTGCGACAAAGCATGATGATGGTTATGTGAAGATGTTGATCTGCATTAGAGTCATTATAGCGACAAAGCATGATGATGGTTATGTGAAGATGTTGATCTGCATTAGAGTCATTATAGCGACAAAGCATGATGATGGTTATATGAAGATGTTGATCTGCATTAGAGTCATGTGAAGATGTTGATCTGCATTAGAGTCGATGATTGTGACAAAGCATGATGATGGTTATGTGAAGATGTTGATCTGCATTAGTGTCGATGATTGCGACAAAGCATGATGATGGTTATGTGAAGATGTTGATCTGCATTAGAGTCTATGATAGCGACAAAGCATGATGATGGTTATGTGAAGATGTTGATCTGCATTAGAGTCATTATAGCGACAAAGCATGATGATGGTTATGTGAAGATGTTGATCTGCATTAGAGTCATGTGAAGATGTTGATCTGCATTAGAGTCGATGATTGTGACAAAGCATGATGATGGTTATGTGAAGATGTTGATCTGCATTAGTGTCGATGATTGCGACAAAGCATGATGATGGTTATGTGAAGATGTGGTTATGTGATGTTGATCTGCATTAGTGTCGATGATTGCGACAAAGCATGATGATGGTTATGTGAAGATGTTGATCTGCATTAGAGTCGATGTCGATGATTGACAAAGCATGATGATGGTTATGTGAAGATGTTGATCTGCATTAGAGTCGATGATTGCGACAAAGCATGATGATGGTTATGTGAAGATGTTGATCTGCATTAGAGTCGATGATTCGACAAAGCATGATGATGGTTATGTGAAGATGTTGATCTGCATTAGAGTCGATGATAGCGACAAAGAATGATGATGATTATGTGAAGATGTTGATCTGCATTAGAGTCGATGATAGCGACAAAGCATGATGATGGTTATGTGAAGATGTTGATCTGCATTAGAGTCATGTGAAGATGTTGATCTGCATTAGAGTGGATGATTGTGACAAAGCATGATGATGGTTATGTCTGAGCCCTAAAGTGGGGTCAAGGAGGGGTATTATTTGCATTTTTATTTCTTTAGCTAGGTACTGAGCAATAATCCAGCAAATATGACGGCAGCTCGTAAATAATGGTGTCTGGGCCAGAAAATCCAGTGATTGTGTTAGCATCCTCTCACGCCGTCGAAATACAACACGCAATATAGAAATCCCCTTGGTCTAGTACCCGAGCCATTCGGTTGCCTGACGACCAACAGTTGCAAGTGACTCTGCCACGGGAACAGTCACTTAATGGTTCCAAGTGGACCCTGTTCACCTGTCTATATAACAAGACTATGAACGTGTTCTCCCTCCTTATGTCATACATGTGATACAACGGACTGTCGTTTTAATACTGTGGAGCAAGCCATTTGCTATCTCTCTCGACAACAGATTCTACGTTGTATGGTTTATTTGTTCTTTTACACCGCACTCAGCAATATTCTAGCTATATTGTGGCGGTCTGTAAATATTCTAGTCTGGACCAGACAATCCAGTGATCAACGTCATGAGCATCGATCTACTCAACTGGGATACGTGACATGTGTCAACAAATCTGCGAGCCTGACCACCCAATCCCGTTAGTCGCCTCTTACTACAAGCATGGGTTACTGAAGAACAATTCTAACCCGGATTTTTACGGGTCCAACCGGAAGTGATGCTGGAGGAGTACTTGAAATCCATCCATTCGGGTATGTGGCAGAGGTGCCAGAGGTCGACATCAGAAGTTGGGATGAAAGCAAACGTAGGGAGGATCCTGGCACGAAAAAGGGAAGCAACACAAACCAACAAATTCACACACTGGGTCGTCCAAGCCAACCCGCTGTAGTCTTTTCTTGTAGTTACGAATGTGAGTACTCTCAGTACATAACAACATACCAGCTCATATCAGAATCTGTATAAAGCACTTGAGATCTTGACAACATCGTAAAACAGTCGATATACATACTACGGTAACATGAGTCAAAACGAAAACCATTTAACTCAGGGGATTTTCAGTTGAACATATCTTAAGTTTGCGATATTATACTCATGCCAATAATGGTTATCAAAAAAAAACTCTGGTGAAGATTCGGGTTAGAATTGGTCTTCAGTAATCCATGCTTGTCGTAAGAGGCGACTAACGGGATCGGGTGGTCGGGCTCGTTCACTAGTTTGATGCATGTCATCGTATGCTGCGTGCGTCAGTCACTTGGTAATCTGGTTCAGTCTCGACTCTTAACAGACCATTGTTATACAGCTGGGAAAATACAGACTGCGGCCTTAAACAACATCCAAGACACGCCCTCTTCCTTGTACCACATGATACAACGTTGGCAACCTAAAACCATGTCTGCTTGGTGGGGTGGCCTAGTGGTCCAAGCGTTCGCTCGTCACGCCGATTCCCCACATGGGTACATCTCGACATGGCAGTTAAAATGTTGAAGAGAAGTTCGAAATGACACAGGTCTTAAATAATCACGATTTTGGTCAAATACGTGAACCCGGGTTCTGAGCATGCTTAGGTCATAACTGTTAAACGACTCCGGGAAGCACCTTTGTATGGCGCGCTCCGCCCAACTTACGGTTCTGTACCGGCGGTCTGGTAGTTTAGTGGTTAAAGCTCGTCAAGACAAAGACCCGGGTCCGATTGTAGACATGGCGACAGTGTGTGAAGCCCATTTCTGCTGTGTGCCACCGTGATATTGCGGGAATAGTGCTAAAACTGTACTCCCACAATGGTTCTTTCCACCGCTGGACCACCGCATGTAGAGTAGAGTACCATGTTGCTGTCATATCATGGCGTATGACGCTGTTGTTGGAGATCGACAACAAAGTCTTTGCAGAGTTGTCACTTAGCTGGTTTTTAAATTTTTATGTAGATGTTGATTCCATTGTATGCATACGTGTTAGGGCCACAGTCTGAAATATTTTATCATCTCCCGTAGACTACGTAGAAAATACTAACATATTCGTAGAAGATACTTTCATCGACGTAGTAGATACTTTCATCTCAAGTGTTGATTTCTCCTGAGGTCATATCAAACAGACCGGGAGCTATTGTCGATTACTCGCGAATATACGGTTACAAAGTTGATTATTCGGTAAAAGTTGAACATTTACTAAGTAGAGTATAATATCCACGCACATGGGAGTATATTCTACATATATGTACGTATTATCTACCTAGAAGGAAGTATCTTCTACGTACATATCAATATTATCTACCTAGATGAAAGTATCTTCTACGTACATATCAATATTATCTACCTAGATGAAAGTATCTTCTACATATAATATATGTTAGTATTATCTACGTTTATTACCTACGAGGGCGAAAATATCGGGGTTCATATTTTTCATACGATGCCCTACGGCAAAATATCATTTTGTCATGGTGACGTGACGTCATGAATAATGCTATGACGTCACGTTTCTTCTATGACGTTGCGTTCTACACAGGCGACGGCAGGTAGCTAGCCTATGTTTGAAAGTAGATTTGGGTGTATTTTTCGGTAATAAACAGAATATTATATTCGTGCCCATATCATACTATGTTTACGACACTCGTGTCTAAATATTGGTATATATCCCTCGCTCTCGCTCGGGAAATACCAACATTTAGGCACTCGTGTCGTAAACATAGTATGACATGGGCACTCATATAATATCCTCTCTATATGTTAGAAAACATTTACTATCGATACGTTTCCTAGCTTTAAGTGAAACAGATCTTCACAAAAGTGAGTGAGTTTAGTTTTACGCCGCTTTTAGCAATATTCCAGAAATATCGCGTCGGGAGACACCAGAAATGGGCTTCACACATTGTACCCATGTGGGGAATCGAACCCGTATCTCTTTACAAAAGAACATCAGAACAGCATGCATCAGGTGCCAGTTATTAAACGTTCACAACATACAAACACGTCTGTCGCACTAGCTGAAACACATGATATTTTTGCAAAGAAATAATAGGTCTATAAATGGTGGCCCCCAAGGGGGCATGGTTCTAACCCATATATGTCTTGTAGTTTCATATGATAAAATACAATGCATTGGACAGTCTCATTCTAGGAGCTTAGGTCAGATGTACAATGGACAGATGAAAGTTTAATGTATGACCCACCGATAGTATCAATGTTACTGCAGTAACCGCTCACGCCATCTATATGTCACATCCCGTATTTTCAGTTCGCGGGCAATGGATGTACACATCTAGATCACCTCTATCATCCACTCACTTGTCCGTTCTAAGTGATGTCAGATTTCTCGGACTGTTGACTGATGGTCTTCAAGCGAGGTCGTTGCTCACGCATAGCAAACGACCGTGGACACAGCAGACGACCACACGCGCGACGGAATTCCGGCTTCTGCCATGCGTAAATGAAGGGGTTTACAATGCTGTGTGCTACCCCAACAAACACCAAACAGTTGCCCACGAAGGAAACAGTGGGGTTAAAGTTGATGACTTGCATGAAGGTCGTGACGCTGAAGGGCAGCCAGCACGCTGTGAAGGCCACGGTGACGATCCCCATCATGACACTAGAACGGACTTCGATCCGGTGAACTAGGACTCTGTTCGTGGGTCGAATCCGCTTCTTTCGCTCCCATGCTACCTTGAATATGATCCCGTACATAATGAAGCATGGTATTGTCTGAGACCACGTGGTGAGGGCAGATAAGTACAGTTGGGCGGGTGTGACCACCAGTTCGTATATACAGGCTGTCCCGTCGGTCCAGTTGTTGACGCCGAGGAAGGGAAGGGCTCCAACGACGACGCCGTACACCCATGGGATGCTGATCATGATAGCAGTGTTGCGGGGTGACATGATGACGTTGTGTTTGAAGGGGGCGGTGATGGCGATGTAGCGGTCGATGGTGCAGAAGGTGACGCTGAGTTGAGAGGAGAGCGTGAACACTGAGATCGTCTGGAACTGCAGCAGACATGTGACAAGATGGCGGCTCATTTCGGGGACGTAGAACGAAGCGATCTGATACCCCATGGCGAGACCCGTGAGAAGATCCGACATGGCGAGGTTGATGATGAACCTGTTGGTAGCGCGCCGCATGTCCATGTAGCGCACAAATGCAACGATGACCATGAGGTTGCCAATTGACGCAACAACCATCACAATGGCCTGCAGCGTTGTAAACACAATCACAACTGTTTGGTAGTCAATGTTGGGACCGCTGGAAGTGGTTTCACTTGCTATCTCTTTTGTCGCCATTCTCGAATAAGAACACCCTTTAACGGCACCAAAATTGTCACGTCATATGAAGAAATTGTTCGTGTAACTGTGTTTTACTTGGTTCTGCTACCGCTGCTCACTTGTAATCATAGATCACAGATGAGATCACAAACTGCTACGATTTGCACAGTTTGATTTCAAATACACAATTGAGACACAATCGGTAAACGGTTCTCCGCATACCTGTACAACAATTACTTACATGGCAATATCACAAATGGCACTGATGTGATAATTCCCCACTATCAGAAAGGACAAATGCTCTCTTGATTTTGCACATCAAGCTCCAAGCCTTGAAGGGTGTGTTCTGTTGGCGTGATCCGAAGAATTATAAGTCATGTGTAAGTGCTTGGTATATACAGTAATCCTCGAGAGCAGACATCTAGCAATATCTGAAACAAACATGAACACGATAAAACATGACTTCTTCTCTAAGATACTGTCAGTACTGGATGATGGTTTGTTTATGTTTACAACACGTTTCTCGTACTGTAGGGGCGGCGGGGTAGCCTAGTGGTTAAAGCATCGGCTCTTCACGCCGAGGACCCGGGTTCGATTCACCACCTGGGTACAATGTGTGAAGCATATTTCTGGTGTCCCCTGCCGTGATATTGCTGGAATATTGCTAAAAGCGGCGTAAAACCATAATCACTCAGCTACTCACTCTCGTGCTGTAATTACATCATTGATTAATTATGCTGGAAAGGAACTTCACCTGGAACAGTTAGTATTACGAGTAGGGGTAGCATGTTAGGACTACCACCAAACTTTCTGGAATATTAGCAGCTCTTGAGCTACTTAAACTCCACTCGTCCAACTCGGTTTTGCATCTCTTATTAACCTTTACCTAGAACCATGTCGGGGAGTTTCTCTGATAATGTCTCTGTCACAACGGTCTCGAAAACACTCGAACCTGTAACAGAAACTCTAGTGGTTGACAGGGGCGGTGGGGTAGCCTAGTGGTTAAAGCGTTGGCTCGTCACGCCGAAGACCCGGGTTCGAATCCCCACATGGGTACATTGTGTGAAGCCCATTTCTGGTGTCCCCCGCCGTGATGTTGGTGGAATATTGCTAAAAGCGGCGTAAAACCAAACTCACTCACTCACTCACTCTAGTGGTTGACAGTCCTGGGTTAGGCAAGTGGTTAAAGTGTTCGCTCGTCATGCAACAGACGTAGGTTCGATTATACGTGGGTACTATGCTGTCTAGCTGTCTCCAACATATATTTCATGAAGTGTACCTAGATCTCCGGGAAATTACTCTTGCAGGGTGTCATGAAGAGTCGTAAGCGACCTAAGACACATGGCAAAACTGTCTAATGTTAACCCGACCAGTGCCAGCATGGCTAATTTTAACCAATTTCCACCAATGTGGACAAGACAAGTCAAGACTTATTTAGACTCACTAACTTCCACTAGGAATCATCTACTGCTATGTTACCTCGGTGTCGTCGCCGATGGACGTGATCCTGCTGGCTGACAGTGAAGCCTCGCACCTGTTCTGATGCCTGCCTATGTTGCTGTAACAGTGTAACTCCTTATAGTGTTTGTCATCTACTCCTATGTTACCTGGTGTCGTCGCCAATGAACGTGATCCTGCTGGCTGACAATGAAGCCTCACACCTGTTCTGATACCTGCCTATGTTACTGTAACAGTGTAACTCCTTATAGTGTTTGTCATGGTCAGAGATCCTCAACACGCCGACCCGGCTCTGTGAACATGGCGCACCCATGTCTTTATTGCTAAACCCTTATAAAGTTATGGGTTTATCGTAATTTTATTACTTGTAAATATACAGGAACAATCTTGACATATGACAAGTTCCTAGTTACTACCATGCAACCTGGAGCTATGTCCTACCCCAGCTGACTAGCATATGTTTAGAAACATCAATATATCAGTGTTAATATTTCATTCATTCCTTATAAATTGACTCCACTACTGCCGACTCATTCACTATATGTTCAGTATATGCTCTATGTTAATGGCGATTTGTGGTTGTTCATTTTATAGACTGCAACCAAGACGAGGGGCCATCAAAAGGTAGTGAGCCTCACCAAGAAAATGATACAAATGCATCTCTTTTTATGTTTTATTTTTCTACATATTATCTGTCAACCTAAAGCAAATTGTTTTTTGCTATTTTGTTTGATTTTTTAACTTGTTACACCCCAAAACGCAAAATCCGCAATATATTACAGCACAAACCCCAGGAAACAAAATATGCAAGAAACATTTTATGTGTTTGAGATAAGTAGAAGTCCGCTAGAATCCAACTTAGATATTAAAGTGCATAAAAGCAATTTGAAACTACAATCGCTTGTTAAAGTGCACCCACCCCACCCACTCCTTCATGTGTTCAGCCCCCGTCTAAATCTAAATCAAGCAATCCAAATCTTGGAATGGTGATTATGACAGGAAATCATCCAATACCATACTGAACATATTTTATATTACATTATCTGAGGGCATACCATTATCCAAGAGGTGTGAAATGTTGGATATGGCTTAGCTAATGATTCCTTCAAAATAGAATGAAAGTTTTTCAATCATCGTGACAATATTCATCAGGTACTCACACAGGTAGAAGGCTGACTTGTGTTGTCAATATACATCAGGTACCTGCACAGATAGAAGGCTGACATGTGTTGACAAGATACATCAGGTACCTGTGCAGGTAGAAGGCTAGCATGTGTTGTCAATATACATCAGGTACCTGTGCAGGTAGAAGGTTGACATGTGTTGTCAATATACACCAGGTACCTGCACAGATAGATGGCTGACATGTGTTGTCAATATACATCAGGTACCTGCACAGATAGATGGCTGACATGTGTTGTCAATATACATCAGGTATCTGTGCATGTAGAAGGTTGACATGTGTTGTCAATATACATCAGGTGCTTCCACAGGTAGAAGGCTGACATGTGTTGTCAATATACATCAGGTACCTGTGCATGTAGAAGGTTGACATGTGTTGTCAATATACATCAGGTGCCTCCACAGGTAGAAGGCTGACATGTGTTGTCAATATACATCAGGTACCTGTGCATGTAGAAGGTTGACATATGTTGTCAATATACATCAGGTGCCTCCACAGGTAGAAGGCTGACATGTGTTGTCAAATGTGGTGACAATATACATCAGGTACCTGTGCAGGTAGAAGGCTGACATGTGTTGTCAATATACATCAGGTATCTGTGCATGTAGAAGGCTGACATGTGTTGTCAATATACATCAGGTACCTCCACAGGTAGATGGCTGACATGTGTTGCCAATATACATCAGGTACCTGTGCATGTAGAAGGTTGACATATGTTGTCAATATACATCAGGTGCCTCCACAGGTAGAAGGCTGACATGTGTTGTCAATATACATCAGGTACCTCCACAGGTAGAAGGCTGACATGTGTTGTCAATATACATCAGGTACCTGCACAGATAAAAGGCTGACATGTGGTGACAATATACATCAGGTACCTGTGCAGGTAGAAGGCTGACATGTGTTGTCAATATACATCAGGTACCTGTGCATGTAGAAGGTTGACATGTGTTGTCAATATACATCAGGTACCTCCACAGGTAGATGGCTGACATGTGTTGCCAATATACATCAGGTACCTGTGCATGTAGAAGGTTGACATATGTTGTCAATATACATCAGGTGCCTCCACAGGTAGAAGGCTGACATGTGTTGTCAATATACATCAGGTACCTCCACAGGTAGAAGGCTGACATGTGTTGTCAATATACATCAGGTACCTGCACAGATAAAAGGCTGACATGTGGTGACAAATATACATCAGGTACCTGTGCAGGTAGAAGGCTGACATGTGTTGTCAATATACATCAGGTATCTGTGCATGTAGAAGGTTGACATGTGTTGTCAATATACATCAGGTACCTCCACAGGTAGATGGCTGACATGTGTTGCCAATATACACATCTGTGCAGGTAGAAGGTTGACATATGTTGTCAATATACATCAGGTGCCTCCACAGGTAGAAGGCTGACATGTGTTGTCAATATACATCAGGTACCTCCACAGGTAGAAGGCTGACATGTGTTGTCAATATACATCAGGTACCTGCACAGATAAAAGGCTGACATGTGGTGACAATATACATCAGGTACCTGTGCAGGTAGAAGGCTGACATGTGTTGTCAATATACATCAGGTACCTGCACAGGTAGATGGCTGACATGTGTTGTCAATATACATCAGGTACCTGCACAGGTAGAAGGCTGACATGTGTTGTCAATATACATCAGGTACCTGTGCATGTAGAAGGTTGACATATGTTGTCAATATACATCATGTGCCTCCACAGGTAGAAGGCTTACATGTGTTGTCAATATACATCAGGTACCTCCACAGGTAGATGGATGACATGTATTGCCAATATACACCAGCTACCTGTGCAGGTAGAAGGCTTACATGTGTTGACAATATACATCAGGTACCTCCACAGGTAGAAGGCTAACATGTTTTGTCAACAAACATCAGGTACCTGTGCAGGTAGAAGGCTAACATGTGTTGCCAACATACATCAGGTATCTGTGCATGTAGAAGGCTGACATGTGTTGACAATATACATCAGGTATCTGTGCATGTAGAAGGTTGACATGTGTTGTCAATATACATCAGGTACCTGCACAGATAGATGGCTGACATGTGTTGTCAATATACATCAGGTATTTGTGCATGTAAAGGCTGACATGTGTTGTCAATATACATCAGGTATTTGTGCATGTAGAAGGTTGACATGTGTTGTCAATATACATCAGGTACCTGCACAGATAGATGGCTGACATGTGTTGTCAATATACATCAGGTATCTGTGCAGGTAGAAGGCTAGCATGTGTTGTCAAAATACATCCGGTACCTGCACAGATAAAAGGCTGACATGTGTGGACAATATACATCAGGTACCTCCACAGGTAGATGGCTGACATGTGTTGTCAATATACATCAGGTACCTCAACAGGTAGATGGCTGACATGTGTTGACATTATACATCAGGTGCCTCCACAGGTAGAAGGCTGACATGTGTTGTCAATATACATCAGGTACCTCCACAGGCAGATGGATGACATGTGTTGCCAATATACACCAGGTACCTGTGCAGGTAGAAGGCTGACATGTGTTGTCAATATACATCAGGTACCTGTGCAGGTAGAAGGCTAACATGTTTTGTCAACATACATCAGGTACCTGTGCAGGTAGAAGGCTAACATGTTTTGTCAATATACATCAGGTATCTGTGCATGTAGAAGGCTGACATGTGTTGACAATATACATCAGGTATCTGTGCATGTAGAAGGTTGACATGTGTTGTCAATATACATCAGGTACCTGCACAGATAGATGGCTGACATGTGTTGTCAATATACATCAGGTATCTGTCCATGTAGAAGGTTGACATGTGTTGTGAATATACATCAGGTATCTGTGCAGGTAGAAGGCTGA